TGGGAAGTCTTTCCACGACCAAAAATAAAAAAAAATAAAAAGGTCACTCTCAGCCAGCCAGTATCTGGGAGCCTTTTGGTGTTTGCGAAGATGGATCAGAAGAAAGATCCTGGGCACACTTTTGTCACGGTCTTCCTTTTGATACACAGAATCAAGCTGATTATTCCCCCAACGTCACAGAACGGTGGTTCTTTCTGATCAGAATGCTGCTCTGAGGTTTGCTGATTGACTGATTGACTGGGGCTGAAAGCCCACACTATTTCAAAAGCTTGTGGGTGTGTAGCAATATGGAAATGAGATACTAAAGCCAGTTTGGCTTAAGATGCCTTACATAGTTTCCAGGAAATGAACAGGCTCTGACGTTGGGAGTGTTACTGAAAAGCATGGGATTGCATGGGGGTGGGGGTGGGGTGGGGAGTGATCTCGGGGTTGATGCATTCTTGGGAGTCCTTGAAAAAGGCGCTCGGTGAAATGACAAGGGCTCCTTGGGGTACAGGGTTAATGAAGTGCTGTGGGTGCAAGTGGAGAATCTTGGGTGCCAACAGGAGTCTCAAGCGTGGTATTGGTGGTCAGGCATTGGATGGTGCTCAAGAAGCTTGTATAGAAAGAAGTTAGGGGCCTGTTCAGGACTGTTTTTCTCACCCTAACCATGCTGTTGGCTTTGGCAAACCTTCCCTTTCTAGACTGAGTCATTCCACAATAGCTCAGAGAACCTGCTGGATAGTTCAGTGGTTTAAGTCTCTGGCTGTGGAACCAGAGGTTGGGAGTTCACTTTCCCTTCTGTGCCTCCTTGACAGGGGCCGGATAGGATGATCCATAAGATCCCTTCCAGCTCCGCAGTTCTGAGATGATGATGTTGCTTGGCCACTTGGGGGCCAAGGGATTCTGTGTTACGGCATTGAACTGAAGGGTCTTCTGGTTTTGGCAGTGGGGCTGTCTCTTCTTCCTCCTCCTCCTATCACCCCTGAGATCAGCTGGCTGGTTTGAGGAGGCTCAGGACATATAAAATAGCATAGAGAGCGCTGACTTTCGACAAAGAGGACTAGCCAGGGCGTTCTGGCAAAATATGGAAGAGGCAGCCGCAGATCCCACGCCACCATCCTGCCGTCCACACTTCTGCTGCTTGACGCACTTGCCTTCCTCTGCCCGGTAACGATAGGGCTGGGCTTTGATGGGGTACAATAGGAGAAGTGGCGTCTTCATCTTACAAATCAAACCCTTTTGCTGCTTTCGAAGAAAGGATTAAGAAGCCAGGGCAAAGAGACTGCAGCATGGATAGCATGCGCTCCCATGGTGGTCTGTGCCCATTGTGGTTGTTGGAACAAAGAAGAGAGCATTACCTCTTTTTCTCCCCCATCCCCTTCATGATTACACTCACTCACACAGAGTGTGAGGTTGGGAGTGTGGCAGGCATTAATCCTCCATCTATAGTATGAAGGCACACAGGAACGGGCTGGCTGCACATGTGTAATGGGGGGGGCATACCTTGAGAGGTGGGCCAATGCCCCCTTTGCTCACCCTCCATCACTTCCCAACGGCCTGGTCACATCAGATGAATTTGGATTTTTCAAGGCGGCAACCCTTTTATATGGTTTTTAATTCCTCGTAAATGCCTTCTAAGCCTTCCAGATCGAAGGGGAAACAAAGAGCGACCAAAGTGTTTGTGGGCGTCAGCCTTGGGTCATGAAAGATCCTGTTTCAGGTGACTGCTCAGAGGTCAAATTTGTAGGATGATCTTGCAGGCTCAGTCATTATTTCTTTGCCTATTATATCTCATAGGGTTGCTGCAAAAATTGAATATAGACAAAATGTGCTTAATCTGCCTTTTGCTCCTTGGAGGAAGGGTCGGATTTTAAATGAATGAGTGCGGTGGGGATGGGGGGAGAGTGTTACCCCTCCAGATGGATATGATTTGAACTACAGACTAGAAAAAAAACACTGTTTTGCTGAAATGAGATGAAACACTGAACATCCCCCCCCTTGGCACTTCACTTTGTTTCGACAAAACAGGATGCCCACCCTGCTGCCCCTTTTGTCTCCCTACCTGGTCCCAATGCTGTTGCCGCTGCCACCTTCTCCTCCTTTGCCTCTGCCACCACCGGAAGCCAGGCCCACTGCTTCTGTGCAGGCGTCCACTGCTCAGCTGACAGGCGGGTGCATGCGCAGAGGCGTCCGGCCTGGCTTCAAGGAGGCTTGTGGGGGTTCATGGGGGCATTATAGCTAGCCACAAATCACAAAGCATAAACCAGCCTAGTTCGTTATTTTTCCGGTTCATGCCAATCACTAGTTATCACAACTATTGTGAAAGGGGAGGAAGTACACCAGAGATGATAGAATGGTGCAAGATTTGTCCGAAGGTATAAGAATTGTAGAAGTATGTGAAATAGTATGAGGCTGCTGGGGAGAAATCAGTGACCAATATAAGTGGTTTGCCCACCATGTCGTAATGGTTAATTCTGAAAAAATAACAGCACAAACATTTGCCCTCCAGATGTTGCTGGACTTCACCTCTCAGCCTTGCCAGCTGGGGTAGGAATGGGGGGGTTAATCCAACATCTGGAGGATCCATGCCTACACCCCTCCATAGAATTTGAAGAACCAAGGCAAAAGAACCCTTTCAACCAGGATAGATGTCTAGAGGACTTCACCCAGAAGGTTAAACCAGCTCCCCCACTCCTCCTGGCCCGATTAATTTTTTCTCCCCTTGAGAAAAACATCCAGCTTGATGGGGGGGGGAAGCTCTGAAAAATTCAAATGCTGGCTGATGAAGCTGTGACATTTTGGTTCCTGCAAATAAAAAGTACTATTGCCTGACTTGGTGGATTTTGGATGTTTTCCAAGGGAAAGTGGCCGTTTCCCTCCGACGCAGCTCTGCATGCTAATGCAACTGACCGGACAAAGCTGAGAACAAGAACGCTGCAAAGAACACGCTTTCAATCAATTCACAAATCTTTTGGAGTATTAAGGAACAGAGGCCAGAGTGAGGTAAGCAATAAAGGAGAATGGTCTCCCTCTATCCCCAGGGGCAGAGCTTTTTTTTGTTAAAGACTCTGGGAATACATGCAGGGCTGGATAGCTGAGTGGTTTAGGCATTTGGCAATGGAGCCAGAAGTTGGGAGTTCCAGTTCTCCCACTGTGCCTCCTGAGATAAGAGCCAGCCTGTGTGGCCTTGGGCAAGCTACATAGTCCCTAGGCACCCCAGAAGAAGTGAACAGATCACTTTGTATCTAGAAAACCTTAAAAAAGGGTGGCATAAGTCAAAATTGACTGGACACATACAATTATTATTACAGAATGCCCTATTCCTAATGTGAGCATCTCTAAACCAGTTTTTAACCAATGAGATGAAGCCCTCCTCGCCCCTCCCCTTCATCTCCCTCCCACCTTTTTGTCAATCTCGTGAATGGTAAGTAAGATTGCAAGAGCTAGCCTGCTGCTTGCTTTCATTAAAGCTTGGCTGGACTCTGAGCAGGCAAATAGGTCCCTGTGTATGTACAAGAGAGCACACACATATTCTGGCTGTGGCTGTTACAGCTGCAGCTGCTGCCTTGGTCAGCCATTTAGATTCTGTTCCAGATCTGTGAAGGGGGCTGTGCCAATGTGGAAGGGGTGAGGATGGGAACGCTCCATGAGCTTGGCTGCCAGGATTACCCCCTAGAGAATATCCTTGGGGAATCAGAGCTTCAGGGTGAAGCTCCAGGATCAACTGATTAATCACTTTTTTAAAAAAAAATCAGGGAGAATAAAACCATCAGCCATGCACCCAAGGGCCCCATTCCCTCTCAGAGGTTAGGGGCTTTCAAGCTTCTGAGCTCACTTCTAAGGTCACTTCTGAGCTTACGGTGCCCCTCTTAGTGGTTTTGAGGCACGTGAGATGCTGTTCAAAGAGAGGCTGACCACTGCCACTGTGGAGTGAGTTTCCCATTGCCGAGTGGAGATTTGAACCAGGGTCTTAGTCTTACACTTTGCCCACTACACTCCCCCATTTCTTGAGGTGGAGAAAAAGAGCTGCTAGAATTGGCTTGTGCATCACGTGAGCAAGTCAACTCGGCTGGCTGCGTTTTTGTACTCTCTGTAAGGCAAGTCAAGGGGGATAATAACAAAGGCTAGCCTGTTAAATATTTATGTGGGGACTAATGCAGACTATATTCCCAATTGTGTATTTCCTTCTTTTTTCTGCTCTTCTTGGTTTTTTTTTTTAAATCAAAGCTTATTTATTTAGCAGGCAGGGGATTCAGGAAATGAGAATTTTCATTAATAATAAGTGCGTGCCACCAAGTCAATTCTGATTTATGGTTATCCTTTTCAGGTTTTCTTAGATAGAGAATACTCAGAAGTGGTTTACTATTTCCCTTCTTTTGGGGGCACCTTGGGACTGTGCAGCTTGCCCACCCAGGTTGGCTCTTCTGGGAAGTATCCTGTCCAGTATTTACTCCTGCGTGGAGCTGCTATAGCAGAAGCTTCCTCAGTGATCTGATGAGAGTCAGCAGGAAATGTCACTGGGACCAGCCCTTTTCTATGCCTCTTTTTAATGTTCCTATTTATTTTTTAACTGACATATTGCTAATCTGTTGCAGGTAAGGAATCAGGCTTTCTTGGTGGTGGCCCCAGTCTCTGGAATAGGTTACCAATAGAGATATGATGAGATAGCTTCCCCCCTTATGTGCAGGAAATGGTTGAAAACAGAACTATTCATAGCTGCCTACAACAACCCAGTCTCCTAGATGCTGTTAATATTCATATTTTATTATTTTCTTTTTTGAATGTTTTTTTTAAATATCACAGATCATTATAGATATTGTTTTGTGGGGTCTGTGGGATTTTTAAGTTTTAACTTGCAAACAGGACCCATTAGTACGTGCACTAATGGGGCAGTATATAAATCAATTAAATAATAGTTAATAAATATAACTTTGGAAAGTGATTTTTTTTTTTTAAAAAAAGACTGTTTGAAGACTATAGGCACTTGGTTGAAGGGATTGGCAACCCCCCCCCCGGTAATCACTCCTTTGCATTGGATCAGGCAATCACATAGAGCAGAAAGTGGAGGAAAACAATGCCAACCAAATTGGAGCAAAATAAACCACCTGCATTGGGCTTTGTATTGTATAGTCACTGGGTTTCAATTCAATTTCATCTGTGCCTAATTGAATGCAAATTATGAGGTAAATGGCCAATGTAGCCTCCCCCTTGTGATCCGGAAAACTGAGCAATCATCTTTTGTGGTCCTTTGGTTATTGCATACCTTGATTGACTGTTTGCTAAGAGACAGTATGACGTATTTGCTGTGTGATGACTCAAGTCATACAGCTTCAATTTTTCATTTTCCCTGTTTGTCTTGGAAAACGGTCACTTACATGGCTTAGTGAGCTGGTGCTGTTGAGAAGTTTTGGGCTTCCGCTCCCACCAGACCCAAACTGCATGACCAATGGTCAAGAATTCTGAATGTTTTGATACTACAGCATTTGGAGGACAACGTGTTGTGGAATGCTCGCCTAATTAACCCCTGCAAGCCCATTGCAACCCTAAACCTAAGACAATGCCAATACAGTCCTTAGGTTCTTGATAACGATGTCAGACAAATGTGGTGGTATCATAGGGACTACATGGGTTAACTTATAGATCAGCCTCCACCAACATTTGCTGTTCAGGTGTTCTGGGCAGCAGCACTTATACTCGACTACCAAGGCTGTGCTGGTCAGGGATAATTGGGTTTGTAGTGCAAACATCTGGAAAGTGCCAGGTTAAGGAAGACTAACTATAGAGGTTCCATGGTCAAAGGATCAGACACTGGAGTGAGGAGATGAGAGCCTGATCTCTCATGCATTGCAAGAGAAAAGTACTCAGGAAAAGTCTGAGAGAGATAAATGAACCATTACATGTTCAGCCAAGAACTTTCAAACCGTTCCTTTAGAGATATGACAGAAGAATGACTCCTCCTGTATGACATTTTGCTGCTGTAGCAATGAATTTTTGAAAGATCCCCACCACTTTTTAACTTTTTGAAAAGGTGTTGGGGCTCACACTTGGCAGAAAGTCCTGCTGTATATAACCTGACCCATGAGTGTGATCTGTCATCATTACTTAGAGAGGAAGGGCCTGCTCTTTGGTCATGATTAGAGGCTCTGCCCTGTTTTTCTCTCTCTCTCTTTAAACCATTACAAGGCAGAGGGTCAAGCCCCGGCATTAAAAAAGAAAATGAGCTCTACCGAATCCTGATTGTAATTAAGTCCCAAGAATGGCCAAGAATGAATAAAATGAATGAGCTCAGGAAAATGTGGGAAGAGGCAGATAAGAATCATCACAATTTAAGACTTCTACATTTTGCAGGGAATATTTGTGGCACAGTTAACTGCGGAAACTCATCTCCAGCTCTGGAAACGTGATCATTTTTCTCTTCAATCTTTTTGGGTGGTGGGGCAATAGTCTTTGTGGAAGTTGCCCTATGTGTATACATGTGCATGCGTGTTGGGTATAGCAAGTAATCCTCCCTTTTCTGCACATTTTTTCAAGCCTTTGCAGTCACTGATTCCCATAAATTGCTGCTGTTATATGCTTTCCCCTTTAAAAAAAATGATTTTTCATTGCTGGAGAAATCAGGAAGCACAGAGTGAAGCTGGTGATGCCAAAGCACTATCTAGCCAACCAAATGTTATTATGTGCTTACACCACTGGGGGCAAATAAAACCCTCCTACTGACAAGTCCTGGCATTGTTACCATCTCACAATAGTGCTTCACAGCAAATGCTTCGTGCTGATGCTTTCTCAAGTTGTGGCAGAATTAGGGATGCACATCTGGATGTGAAAATGGAGAACAGGTGGTTTTTATAAAAAAAAAGTACAGGAAAAAAATTCACTGAACAAAGTCTCCCACTCAGCCCTTCTGTGTTACTGAATCCTGTCACCTAAATGTGTTCTGTCCCATTTCAACTAAGCAACAATGACCACTTATCCAGAAGACCATTCCATGCCCCCAAGTTTGAAATGTTTGATGCAAAGACTGGTGGGGTGGGCAAGTTACATGGCCTCCTTTTAAACTCTAGGAGAGATAGATAGAACTTTGGTAACACTTGGAACTAAAGAGTTAGGGGAGGGAGAGAGCGTCTGTATGGCAATCAGGCAAAAACTTTGTTACCTACTATATGAACAAAGAACGAAACATTACAGGAGGGGGTGGAGAAATGCTGTCCCTACAGATGCTCCAGTCTCTAACTCCCATCAGCCCCAGTCAAAAAGTTCAACCAATGTTCAGAAAATAGGGGAGATGTCCTCCAAAACATATGGAGGGTTGAAAGCTCTCCATTCTTGTTGTGCTCAATCCATATCCAACCCTCTGCAGTGAGAAATATCTCTGCCTCTAAATCAGGGGGCATTCACCTCCCAGAATCCCAACAACATGAGCAATGTTAAGGGAGTCTGTGGATTTCTGTTCACAATATCTAGAAGGCAAAAAGTTTACCATCCTTGCTTTAGAGAAAATGAGGTCCTAAGGAAGGAAGGAAGGAAGGAAGGAAGGAAGGAAGGAAGGAAGGAAGGAAGGAAGGAAGGAAGGAAGGAAGGAAGAGATCCAAATGTTAATAACCCAAGACATCAGTTCATCAGTCTTCTTTCAAGGTTTTCAGCTTCACTCTTCAACTTCAGGAGTCCTGGCTTGGCTGATCTCTCCAGCACAGCCAGCAGACACAGAGATGGTGGGACAGCCACACGCTCTGAGGTTTAATACAGGTTGTTACAATGATACAATGACACACACACACACATTCATTCAAAACACACAAACACACACACACATACCCGGTTGGCCCCACAGCCTGAGATACAAGGAGGAAGCATTTTTTTAAAAAAATCGGTATTTAGCACCAGCGTTTGGAGAAAAATCAGTGCCAAAGGCTGAGTGGGAGACAGAAGACCTCTGTCTCATTTCTACTCTTCGGGACTTTGGGTAACAGGAAACCCTTCAGAATTAGAGGTTCTTGGAGAGCTGGAAACCAGCCTGCACCATGTCATCATCCCTCTGCAGGGGGATGGGAATGTCAAAATCATCAGCCATGTGTTATAAGCATCTGCCAAGAGAAATGGGATCCAGAGAATATGAATCAGGAATCCACCACTCTCTGCACAGCATGGATGGAATGAATGGTAGACAAAGGTGATCAGAGACTGGAAAACAATCCTCCTAGTTCCTCTGCCCAGCATGCAGAGGTTTCAGTTCACAGCTGGAATGTTGCAGAGCATGGAAAAACAAGGAGGAACGCTCAACCACTTCCCTCTAACTTAGTATCATTTTCTAGCATTGCTTTATCTGGCACTGGAATGGGAACAGGCAGCAGTTAATTGTGGTCATGCCTGATCTTAGCCAAAAGACCAAGAAGCAAAGTAAGATCAGGTGTAGTAAATAGTGGTTGCAAGAGGATGCAGACTCCAAATGAAGACTCTGGACAGACAAGGAGATACCTAAGGTCTTAAAATGATCTGTCCTCTCTCTTTCCTCCACCTGAACATGCAGATCTCACCCAACTTTGGAAGCAAAGGAATGTTAGGCTTGTTTAGTATTTAGGATGGGAGGCTACCAAAAAAAAAATACTAGGTGCTCTTGTTGGGAGAGGGCATAGGTCACAGGGAGAGCTTATCCCCAGGTTTAGTTCCCAACATCTCCAGATAAGATAGGGAAAGAATCTTGCCTGAAACTCTGGAGAGCCACTGTCACTCAGAATTGACAATCTTAGTTTATATGGGCCAACGGTCCAACTCAGTAGAAGGCAGCATCTCTGTGTTCCTGCCCAAATTACTAGGTAAAAGTTGGAGACTACTCTCATGCTCATCTGCCCCTCCCCCGATGCTCAACCCTTAAGCCTTGGATCAGAGTCCTGTTTTCCCTTAGTTGTGCATTAATGTGTATCTCATGCCCATATGCAAATGATTGCACCTATAAATGAGGCCTGGATCCCTACTTCCCAAGATGCTTAGGGCATGATCTTGACACCTCCATGCCCTTACAAGGGTTGGGTGGGGGAGTGGGAGACAGGTTTATGCAATGTGTATGTTATGGTTTCTGCTCCCCCCCCATCCCTGCAGGTGGCCAATGCCAGGCAGTCTGTCCAGTGCTTCACTAAGAGTGCGCAATAGTAGCACCATGAGTTGCGGCTGCAGAAAGGAAGGGCCCTGGCTCAGTCTGGGCCCTGCGCTGCTGCCCAAGAGTCACAGCCCCGAGGGACCTTGGCCGCATAAATAGGAGGCTTTCTTTCGGTTAAATACAACGGCAGGTCTTTGCAGGGCCGGCTCCTTTCCCTCGCTCCACGCCCACAGTGCAGGGAAAGACAGAGTGGGGTGGGGGGGTCTTTGAGCTCTTTCCTTCTCAGGAGGGGTCCTGCGGTCTTGAGTGAGGGGGTCCACCTCTCTGGAAGAACTCAGCCGCTGAAGCAGACAGGACCAAGCTCGAAGCCAAACTTCTGGTTGGTGTCCCCAAAGTCTTGAACCGCCACATCCATCAGCGGCAACTGCTCCACACGGGCCGTCTGGATCTGCAGGATTGTCCGCTCCTGGCCCTTGCGCACCTAGGGAAGGAAGTGGGGTTGGGATGTTACGGAAGGTAATATCAGGGAAGCAAGCTCTCTGGGAACGGGAAAGCTGGGAGGAAGCCTGTGAGGCCAACATGCAGCAACGCTGGAAGAGCTTCCTGGTTCTAACAAGCAACTGCAAGTGAAAGAATATTTAACTAGCAAAGTTGTCTGGAATCATGGGGTTATGTTATTTCATGAAAGGTTTCAGGAAAGGCAGGGGGAATCATCTGATTAAAGCTAGAAGGAGTTGAAGAACCATGTGAAGTTCAGTAGGAATGGGGTTTTTTTAAGACTACAAATCCCAGAATTCTCAACACACCTTACAAACACCCCCATGTGGGATATCTGGGAGAAAGGCCTAAACTGGGAAGCTTTCAGGCCTAGTTTAGCCTAGCTCCACCTAAATTCCTATTCAGAAAGAAAGCTCCCAACTGGAACAGGGACAAGAACAGGAAGTGTGGGCGAAATTGGGTCTCAAAGCTTTGCAGTTTAGGCCTTTTTCCATCATTATCTCCATTCAGGTATCTGTAAGGTGTCTGTCAGGTGAATTCCCAGAATGGAGAATTAAGGGATTTGTAGTCGGGGGAAAAAAAATCCAAAAATTCCACCCTTAATCATTAGGCCATAGGCCCATGGGTGATCAGGGAGGTGAAAATATGTCCACTTTATTTTGGTTTCCTTTCTCAGAGCCCCAACAGCATTGTCATTTTGTCTGAGTTCTCAATTGGCTACATGATATTTTTTTCTGTCTTACATGTCCATTTCTGCCCTGTTTCCCTGAAAATAAGATCTAACCTGAAAATAAGCCCTAGTATGATTTTTCGGGATGCTCATAATGCAAGCCCTACCCCCAAAATAAGCCCTAGTCAAGTGAAAGCCTGCCCTCCACCATTGTGCAGCAAACAGAAGATGACATGACTATATTTGAATAAACGTAGATGGTTGTACATGAAAAAGATAAAACATCCGCTGAAAATAAGCCCCAATGCGTTTTTTGGAGCAAAAATTAATATAAGACCCTATCTTATTTTCGGGGAAACATGGTATCTGTTCTGCACACATTTTTAATTTTTTTCCCTTTTGATTGAAATGCACGTCTGTTCATTTTCCAAATACAGTCATTTTCAATCATGCACATATAATTTGGAGGGGGAGGTTGGGAGAGAAACTGATGCTTATATGTTCCTTCCACTGATGGGAAGAGAAAAGATGCATACGCTTGCTTTTGTTAAAGAGTCATGCAGAGAATGGATTGAATAAATCTGTAAGCGATCTCCGCTAATGTGAATTTGTTTTTCTACCTGAAGGGTGGCCCATTCAAAGTGGCCAGGAAGAAGAATATTTTACTCTGGAAATAGCTTCTGGGGTTAAATGTAGCTTTGATAATAACACAAAGGTGTCCATATAATATATAGCTCCAATTAACTCAAGCAAATGGGCAAGCCTAAAATGACAAGGGGAAGACTGCAAATTTTGCAGAAGTCAAAAGAAGTGTAGCCTTTATAATTTTTGTATATCATGGCCTTTGGAGAAAGAGATTCTAGGAGAAAGCTGTATTCTGGAATTGGGGGAAATCACCTCTATTGTTTTGTATAGCCTTGCTAACAGGGGATTGAAAAGAGGAAATATTTGTTCATGTCATGGCGTAACAGGCCAAGGAAGGTGAAGGAGGATAGTGTTGTAAGATTTAAACTGGCGATGTTGTAGCTGGCACTAGTATTATAGCAAAGGGTACCTGAGCTAATCAATAGGAATAGCATATGGAAACTCCAACAAAGAAACTGATGCTGCTGTCTGGGGCTGATGGAAGCTGTGGTTTAACATTATCTGGAGAGCGACCCCATCCCCATCCTGGTTTTGAACATCTGGATTGGCCAGAGGGCCCATAGCTTCCATGTACTTCCTTTTGGGCAGGGAGGCTGTCCCAGGGTAAGCTTCAAAGATGGGGGCGAGGTCAGCTGACAGCCAGCGCATGCCTTCAAATGTTCCCAGTGGAGAACTAGCTGCCAGAGCAGGCTCAGGAGGCAGAATCTGAACAACTCCCAGCTACCACAAGAAGAACCCTGCTGCAGAGCCACTGCCTTGTCCCTTCCCCAACATCAAACTCAAGTGATGAAACTTCACCTGAAATATGGCCACCAAAGAACAAGGCGGAAGTAGCCCCTCTCAGTGGGGAGACCTTGAGGCTATCAGAAGGACTCCCTCCCCACCACAAAGTAACAACAGCTCAAGGAAGAAGCAGAGACTACGGACTGCTGTTAGAAAGGAGCAAGAAAAAGATTAGGATGGGTGGAACTGGAATGGCCTTATGGAAAAGACTGTAGTTGGTAGGCATTAACCCTCAACAGGATTATTTTTCTAGGGAAATGAGAATACGCTGCAGCATTTTGTTGCAGTTTCTGCATACCTCCTACTCTCATATTGTGCACCCATAACAAAAGTCTGCTGGTTTATACTCCTCCAGAGCTACGTCACTGGCATGAACAGGACACGTAAATTAGCCAAGGAAGAAGAGGGGGATACCTGCACAGAGGGGATATATTTGGAGCAGTTGCCTGTGGAAGAGGCCCAATTTCTCCAAACAGCCACCCACCTTAGGAAGAGAATGAACAAACAGGCTTTCCATTGTGTGACATCAACCCCCAGAAGGCCAATCAGGGCCCACTGCTTGGTTAGCAGTTCCAAGAATGCACAGCCTCAACTGCCAGCTGGCCAAGGCTGCAGAACAGGGTGTGTGGGTGGGCAAAGGACGGCTCAAAGAACAGTTAAGACTTCACCTGTCAAACAGTTTCCAAAAGCTTAGGATACCTGCCAGCTGCAAGGTGAGAAATGCAGAGGAAGCAGCAGCCAAAAGGAGAAATGCGGGGCAAAGGCAACTGGAAAGAAGAAGAGAGGGAGCTATTGCACACCTTCATCATCCAGGAAGGGCCATGTTTGAATCATCTGATGGCTCTCACACAGAAGTATATTCCTTCACTTCCAGTCTCGGGATTAAAGGTCAGTTTGTTTTTGTTAAGGCCATACTTTACTGATTTCTTCATATTCAAGGTAGAAAGAATTCAATTTAAAATAATTAGAAAGTGTGGGAGATACTAAAACTGATGGATTCACCAAGGGAGATCCAGGGCTTTGGATGAGTTAAATGTCGTTTGGCCTCTCTATATATAGTAGTGTTGAATTAGAGTTGGCACCTTCTCCTTTTTTGATAGACCCTATTCATGCTGGGAATTAGGCCAGCATGTGAATAGAGGAGCAGGGAATTCTCTTTCAGTTTGGGTTGGAACAATTTACCAAACTAGCACATTTCTTCCTTCGTGGGACAGAAAGAATTTGAGGGTAAAAAAAAAATGCAAGTGCAGAGGAAGCAAAATGGACAGATTTTCCCATTTCTACTTCAAGACTCATATTAACCTTCATTTGCCCATCATAGAATTATAACATCAGAGGGTGGATATTTCAAGGTGATAGGAAGTGTATCAAAACATATGCATGGGAAAAGCCAAGCTGGGAGAAAAGATATGGAGGCATATGGGTATCTCACCTGGCAACCATCATACAAGGCACGGACAGGGTTTTCTGTGCTGTTCTGCATCAGCTCCACACCGTTGAAGGCAAGAAACTTCAAGGCTCGGCTGTGGCTGCTGCTGTCGGCCTCATACCAGGCAGCCATGTTCTGGCAGATGAGGGTGAAGTTCTGGTGGGCAACAGCACTGAGCAGGCGCAGAAATGTAAGCTGGGTCACGTGCACAGGGTTGCCCTCTGAATCCACGTAGGAGAACTGAGGAGGCAGAGCAGGAAGTGGGCAGCAGGAACAAGTGGGAAGGACAGACAGTCCAAAATGGTAAGTTTTTTTAGCCTTGTATAAACACACACCATCAATAGGCTCCAACCATGGGAGATGGGGTGGAGAAGCGCTCCCTGCCTTATGCAGGCTGCTCTTGGCAGTAACCATTAATGACAACCTACCTTCTTGCCCCTCTTGAATGTGCTGTACCAGCTTCCTGGTTGTTCTTTGCTCCAGGCGGCAAGCCTTACCTAGGGGCATAGATTGCATAAAGGACAGTCATTTATGGAATCAAGACTTGAGCGGATTCAAGGAATCTGCTTTCTGCACTAGACTAGTTCACATGGCCTCTATCCTTTTTGAGCCCAGTCCCCTAACCATCCATACTGAATCAGAGGATATCTACTTACTGATTCAAATTTCTTGTCAGGGAATAAGCAGGTCTCCCCACCAGCTGTGAAGTTGCAGAAAACTCTGAAGGCATCTCGGCCACATCCTTGATTAGGATCAATCCAATATTCACCTGGATCATTGGGGTGGGGGGGAAGAGTACCAATGCAGAAATGAATGTGGGTCTTGTAGGTCTGGTTGGGTGGAGTGGGTATGTGGCCCTCCAGTTGTCTTGGACAGCAACTCCCATCAGCCCTAGCCAGTGGTGAGGGATAACAAGAATACCAATCCAACAATAACTGGAGAGCCAGCCATTGTCCACCCTTACAATGCTTCTCACTAGAGATGGCTAGATTTGTGTCTTTGAACTACAACTCCCAGAATCACCAGGTATCTGGTGAACGGTAGTCCGAAAACACAAATCTGCACACCCCTACTGTCCATACACATGCACAAAAAGATGGACATACCTAAGAGATTTCTATGCATTACATATATTATCCAGGCTGCAAAGCATATCCCCAAACACAGTAGCCATGTGCTGTAATTGCTAAGAGCACCATACAGCTCCCCTCTCCTCTTAAAATTAGAGCAATGCATATAACCCTGGAAAACATTCACTCCATCCTAGTATTTACAAGGAGCTCTGGAAACAGGCTTCATGGTATAAAGATAGTGTTCTGGTCTTAGAGTCTGTTGGCAAAACCCATGACAATTAAGAGTGGGGCAAATCCAATTTAGGCTTCTCTCTTCAAAATAAATTATTGTATATATTGTTCTTATTTTTTCCTCTGCTTTTTCTTTTGTTTTCCATTGTTAGTTCAATTTATTTTGGGGTTTTTTTAATGTTAAATCTGCAAAAATAAAAAGTTATTTTTAAAAGCAAAAGAGAACAGGCTGTGAGCATTCTGTCCCATCCCATGAACATCTACTATAAATCCCTTCTCGAATACACTGAAATACATTGAAAGCCATTCCAGAACTGCAGAAATGAGATGGTGATGTTGATTCCTACACTACACCCCAGTTTAAGGATCGGAAATCTGCCTTTAGCAGTAGTAGAACTCCTAAAGCAAATCTAAAAGAAAGCCACAATAGATATACGCCCATATCTATCTATCTTTGGCATGTTTAGCCTTGACAAAAGAAGACTGAGGAGAGATATGATAGCACTTTTCAAGTACTGTACAGTACTTGAAAAGTTATCGCACTGAGGAGGGGCAAGAACTGTTCCTGTTCCTGATCAGCCCAGAATGCAGGACATGTAATAATGGGCTAATTGTTAGAGTAGTGTGGCAATGGAATCAATGACCTTGGGAGGTGGTTAGCACTCCAATGTTGGAGGAATTCAATAGAAAATTGGATAACCATCTGTTAGATCTGCTTTGATTTGGATTCCTGCATTGAGCACAAGGTTGGACTCAGGGGCCCTCCAACTCCATGATTCTGTGATTCTACCTATAATATTATCTTTCAAACTGAGTTATGCATTCAACTCTCTTCCACTTAATTACTGGATCTGTCATTTATTCAACATTGTATTGTTCTTTTATTCTGTATTTATCAATGGATGCAATGGTTACTCCTACATTGTAATTGTTTTTGAATTTATTATTATTTTCATTTAATACATTGTGAGCTAGTTTGAAGTGAAAAAGCAGGACACAAATAATAGGGATTGACTTTTTCGTTTTCTAACAAAAGATCTCAAACATGAAAGAGAACCTCCTATTCTTTTCTTGATTGCCAAAACACAAATGATTCATGTTTATAAAAGAAGAGTACATGAAAGGTTTGTGTTTCTTCTTTGTTCTGTCTTTCATGAAATCCTTCTTTCACCCTTAATCTGTCAAATTGCCTGAGAAAAATTCATCCAATTAGCCAGGGGGGTGGGGAGTGGGAATGTTGAATCTCCATAAGGCTTGGAAACCAGTAAGGTTTTTTTGTGTGTGTTTCTATTGTTCCTTGTAGGTGGGATTACTGTGTGCTAAACTCCTTGTGCTATTATTCTTGGATTCCTTTTGCTCCATGTCTAATGTGCCTCCATCTTGAATCCTTCCCCCCCCCTTTCTCTTGATTTTTGGAGAATTTTCCCCCACATTTCTTTTGATTCTTTCTGCCGCTGCCAGGCAACCTTCCTGTGCTAGCATGCCTCTTTGGGATTATTTTTTGGATTACCCCTCCATTGAATTCTTTGGCGATTTCCTTCCTTTGCTTGTTTTTGGTCCTTTCCTTTCTTTGATTATTTTTGCTGCTGCTTACGCCTGCTCTGTCTGCTCCTGCCTGCTGGACTGAAAGAAGAGAAGACACCAGGTGGTAGTGGAGGTGAGAAATTTCCCTATATTCTATTAGTTTTGATTTATAAGGAACTTCATTGTTTTCCCCTTTATTTGCTTACTTTCTTTTCTTTCTTTTTTGGAAAGGAAACTGTTTGTGAGGGCTTTTTTTTTTGCTATATTTTCCTTGTGTGTGTCTATGTGTTTGACTGATTTAATAAAACTGTTATTTAATTTATGGTGTATTTATTATGTTAAAGGCGTGCATTTTGATGGAGTTTGGGGGGGACTGTTCTGTTTGCTTCTGTGGTGTGTGTGGTGTAGGCCCACATGGCAAAACACAAAATAAATGAGGCTTTACCCTTTCAAGTAAAATGAAAGGACAGGTACACCAAAAATGGAAGAAAACGGAATGCACTCCCTAACCCACCCACCCTCAAAAATTAAAGAAAAATGAAATGTTTCACCATGTACATCTTTAACAAATAAACAGATGGTGAAGGTGGGAACCCCTTGGATAATATGAACTGCCAGGTCCTGAATTCTTACTACGGGCCATGCTTCCTAGATTTTCTAGCAGCCAATGTTTAAAACATCTTGGGAGCTGCAGTTTGTTAGAGACAGAGCTCCTGTGCCTTTCCTGTCAAGCTATGCTGGTAGCGAGAAATATGAGAGAAAACAACCTCCTGTTCCATTTAATTGAAAATGCTAGAGAATGGAGTGGGGAAAGATCGCTGCTGCTACTTCTGCCACCACTCTACAGGAGCCTGGTTTTCTATTGTGTGCTTTTGTTTTATGGAGAAGCAGCTACTGCTGTTAAGCCACGTGCTCCAAAACAGGGGATTCCAACATGAACCCTCCCCAATCATTCATGTATTTAAAAAGCTGCCAGTATGTACTGCCTTTCCTTCACCATCCGAATGTTTCTTCAGAGACGTAAGGGCTGCGAGAATTAGAGGGCCAGGCTAGCCTTTGCCGATCCGCTCGTGTTCCAGGTTCAAGAGGCTTGACAGAGTATCCAGAGGCAAGTGCTGCTTTCCACTGCTTGCTTGGCTGGACCCACACAAGAGTGACAGACCCAGCCCTTCCTCCTCCCTTTTCGTCCTGGCTCTTTACGTCTATTCCTATCCTTTGGCTCTTTCTCCTCCAAAGCTCACCATCTGTGAGATGGGGGTGGCAAAACTGAAGCTCCTTGCAGACCCTGGCGGGACTCTCCGGGGTGCCTAGCGGACATCGCATTTGCTCCACCTCATCCCGTAGGGCGCTCAGTACCGCCAGAACCTCTGCCAGTCCCTCCGCATCAGGATCCTCCAGGTCCACTGCCCCTGGGGCGTCTCCCTGCTCCCTTAGCTCCCACTCTCGACGGCTCTTGCGGCCGCTCTCCATGGGCAGAGGGTCTTGCAGCTCTGCAGGCCGGCCCTGGATATGCAAAGAGAGAAAGGAGGAGAGACGATGTAGAAGAAAAAGCAGGTGGTGGTGGTCCAGTCATAATCCTTATTTCAGGTTGCTTTTTTCCCTATTGTCATTACTCACTGGTTGCCCTGGGGGTCCTGGGGGTCCTGTGTCACCTTTTGGCCCAATAGGTCCCTGCAGGAGAATAGACAAGATCTTTCATACAAATAAATGGCATCTTCTACATAAAACAGGTGAAAGCATAGACCTAGGCATGGGAGAGCATGTTGAAGGTGCACTCTTGAGCATTGCCTCTATCTAGGTCCCCTGTTCTCACTTCATATTCTATAACTTTGTCCTCACTGAGTACTAAATTTGCAACCAAGCTCTATTGCAAGTAAGTGGAAATACGGCTGAATACTATTCACTGCATGATGGAGTGCTCCTGCATATCTTAGTGTTCTCTGCACATAGATGCATGAGGAAATGCCTGCCTAGAAACCTTCCTCCTGACATCTCATTTTCTAGATCATGTCTGGGGGATCTATGGCTTGCCAGAGGTTCCTGGACTGCAAATCCCATCAGTCCTCACGACCGGTCATGCTGGCTATATGGCTCCCTGGCAGGCCCTGGCACGCTTGTTCTTGTTTTATCCTTGCCTGCACACAATCAAAGGCTTTCCTTGTTCGACAAGGGTGGGGGTCCTGGAACCTGAGAAGAACTCCTAAAAGGACCGTGGCCCCACAACAAAGGTTGAGGATGGCAAGTCTAAAATATCTGGAAGGCCAAATTGATAGGAAGGGGCTCAACTTCTGTGTAGTGCTCCGGAAATGGTGCCTCATCTTGCCACCAAAAGTAGTACAAGGCCAGGAAGAGATCTACAACCGCACTGGAATCCATGAAAGTAGAACTAAGCATGATTTTCATAGTTCTTTTTCTTTTTGCCCCCACGCCACCCTCAAGCATATCAGCAGTAGATTATGCATCAGCCAACAAATGTCATTTTGAGTACACTTGTTCTGTTTTTATACCGTAGAGAAATCAACGGGCTCAGAATTCAAAATTCTCTGGGCTCGTAAACAGAGATGGGGCATTTGTATTTGTATACGAATACCCCCGTACAGGTGGACATAACAAGGGTCCATCCCCCTGGGGCTGGGCTGTCCACTCACTTTCCGCAGTTGCTGAGGGCTCCGGGCTTGCTTCCTATCACTCCAGAGCTCGCGGTCTGTGAGCTACTCTTCGACCTGGCAGTTGAGGCTCATCCCCCCGCCTCCTCCCAGGAGTGGCTCGCAGACTGCAAGCTCCAGAGCGATAGGAAGGGAGCCCGGAGCCCGCAACAACAGCGGGCTGTCCACCTGTGCAGGCATATTCGTATACGCATATAATTACCCCCATCTCTACTCATAAATGCACCACGACTGCAGTAATGGTCAGCCTATGCAGCGTTGGCCTAAACCTGTTCACACCCAACCCCCTTTTAGACTCTGAGCTACTTACCGGTGCACCCTTGTTCCCTTTTTGTCCCAAAGGTCCCTGAGAAAACAGGAAATAAAATGAGGAACAACTGGGAAATTGTGGATCTTCTGTGTGTGAAAGAAGAGGGTGAAAAGGTAGCATAAGAATGACTTGGGAAGAGATGACTGAAAAGTAATAGGATGGCCAACATTCAAAATCTGAAAGGTTCTGAAAATCTTTCAAAGGCTGTCATGTTGTTTTCTGCTACTCTAGAGAGTGGAACCCCAGACGAACGGAGTCAAACTACAAGAGATGAGATGTGGATTAAACCTTAACAATAAACTCCTGACACTACAGCCATTTGGCAGTGGTATGGATTGCCTCAGAGGTTGGTGGACCTTAGTTCATTGGAAGTTTTTTTTTTTACCAGCAGCTGGATGGCCATGTGTCTGGAATGCTTCAGTGTGGATTCCTGCATGGGAGGGGCTTGGACTAGAAGACAGAGACTTATTCTATAATTCTGAGTGCATTGTGCATGGGGGGGGGTGGTATCTAAAGAGATTCAGCACATTGGGGAAGTACCATGCATAAATGTGGCCACGATCCTATGAGTGGAAATATATTGGCTTCAAAACAAAGTACACTGGATAACTGGAGGGGATCATATAAATAAACAAAAGGCACACAGACATCTATAAGAAGAGAGGTCAGAAGGGTTTTGAAGTGGAAGGAAGGAGGTGGATTGCGCTGTTGGAAAGTACTGTATCCAGATTCTGCTAGAGCCTTATGTTTGGATGTAGAAGGGTTTTGAAGTGGAAGGAAGGAGGTAGATTGCACTGTTGGAAAGTATCAGGATTCTGCTAGAGCCTTATGTCTGGATGCCACACTTGTGAAGATCTCCAGTGCAATATGTGCAAGGGTCAAAACTTTCATATACCATTTTTGAAGCTACTTTGTAATCTAGAATGATGTAGGGAAGATTCTTACTGAGAGGCCAGGAGATCCAGGTGGGCCAGGTGGGCCAAGAGGTCCCATAATTCCCTATTGTAGAGAAACAGGATGTTAGGATTAGATGCTGCTTTAAGGACCCTTCCCAGCCACATCACCAAGAGTCCCTTTCCTCCATCCTTTCTTCCCACCCTCCATCTGAACTGAGCTCCCAGCTACTCACAATGTCGCCCTTAGGGCCTGGTGTTCCCTGGTTCCCTGGCAGCCCTTGGTCACCTTTCTCACCCATCTCACCTGGGGGGCCAATCAACCCAATGAGTCCTGCATGGCCCTGAAAGAAAAGGGGAGCAGCTTATGGGCACAGAGACAGTGAGCAACGAAAAAGAGAAAAAGGAATTCAAGAAATTTTGAAAGAGTTGAAACTCTACATCAGCTTCAGCTGTAATCTGATATGGTCGGGGTCAGGAAAAGAGCACAGGATGGAAAACAAATGTATATGTAGTTATGATCTGGGCTTGCCTCCAAATCAGAAAACTAAGATTTCCCTTTCCCAGAGTGACACAGACACGTACACGATGATTAAAACTAACATGTTTCAACTATGAAGACTTGGTGAACTTTTCGCATATATACTGTGTGTGGTGTGTATAAAATTATCTCTCGATCATTTCTCATTCATATGGAAAATTATAGCTTGGGAAGAGATATCAGATTTAGGCCCAGCTTTAGATCAGCAAGGAGGGTGTTAGGAGGTAACTTGGCCTCAGCCAGGCACAAACACCATGTCTGTACTTGGTATCCAAAACCAGGTCTTCAAGAGCAGACATCCAAAGCATAGAGTCTGGAGATTAACTGACCACAGTTGTTGTTACGACCCATTAAATCCAGTGGTTTTTCACTTCTACGTAGTTAACAGAAACTGAACAGGAACTGGCCATTCTGATATGGTCTTATGTGAATGAACACTATGCAGATGTGGTCCTAAAGCAGGCTGCACTCTAAGGAAACCTTCCAGCTCAACATGTGTTGCCACCACTGTCATCATTTATTTATTTATTTATTT